AAACACCTTCTTAAATTTCTCCAATTTAACCGTTAATAACTTGACGACTAAAGAAATTAAATTATAAAATACAATTTTAAACAGAACCTAAAATAGCTATAGAAAATTATCACGAGATTAAATGAACAGTGATTTAGGGATATATCATATGTTATTTTTGACAGTAGATTAGGTTTCTGGAAAACCTGAGTTTTATTAATTGAATTAGATTTGAAGGATTTGAAGGAATTTAAGATGATGAACTCTATTGACCTCTCTTTTATCGTTATATATGTATTTTTTTCTGTGGAGAGAGGGAAACATAAAAATTTCCTAAGTTATCGCTTTTGATTTCATGTGGACTAATAATAAAAATATGTCTTTGAGTTTAGATCAGCGAGTTTTTTGCAGAAGCTCATTAAAGAGAATTAGTCTAGTTACAAAAATTAAAACCATTTTCATAAACTCTAAAAGGCTCCGCAACAAAAGATTTGATTGAACTGTGCTCTATTAGTTTATTTACATTAGAGAGATATAGCGGCCACAACAACAAAGATCAACTTATTTTAAAGTAATCGTCAAACTCTATTTATCTTTTCAATCAACAACAAATTGAATGGAAGAAAATGATTTGATCAGTCATAATTGATAAAGATATTAATAACAGATTTATTAACCTAGGCCACCTACTGACGTGGATCTTTCTCTAATATTAACTATTTATTCCAATCATGTACCAGTCTTTAGGTCAAATGTTAACTCTCTTTTCATTATTTTTCAGGACAAACAGTCGTTCAATTAGAAAATCTTTTTATGTAATTGGAAAATTTTATCACATGGAGAATAGTTGGAGTCTATTAAGAAGAAAATGAGGGATTTATGAGTGATAATACAGGAATAATGATGATAATAAACTATCAAGGGAACTGAGAAAATTGACTTGCACCCTGGTTAATTATTTGATAGTATCAAACTGAACGTGGATCACAATTTTCTGATTTAAAGTCTCGTTTTGCTGTTAGAAACCGATATTCGATTTGTCAATAATCGCCAAGGAAATTATCTCCCTTAACTTAACTTCAAATTACGACAACCATCAGTAAGTCGTAGACTGTTAGGGGACCAATGAAATTCTCGTTTTAGTAGACTTGTTATCAGATGACAGGACGTATAAGGAGTAATAAATGGATAGAAATAATCTCAATAGAGTTCATTAAAGAAAACGACAAGAGATAGGAATCGTAAAATAACTTCTTCTAGATACTACAATTGCTTTTATTTAAATAAATGCCCTCACTATCATAAAGTTATTGTCGCTATGAAATGGAGTAATTTGTCACTATCAGTCACGCAAGACTTTTCTTCGATAAAAAGGCAAGTTGTAATTTAAATACACCGCCAGTAAAAAAATGCGTTCTTATGATTCATCAATTTCATCCAATTTAACGCGATGGCTAGCTTGTCTTTTTAACAAATCGGTGAAAATGACGAATTTATTTGCGATGCCATTATATACAGAAGGGCAGACATTAATGGATAACTGGGTAGTGAGTTTAATCAAGATTCACTTGAGTTGAATAAATGACAAAACAATGATTAAGATTTGAACATATCAATAAATCTACTAGATGTCTACACAAAATAATCTCCAAGATAACATTACTTACAACTCATGATATGATATTATACTATATTAAAAAGTTGCTGAGGATGGGCTCCTTGTAGCTCATGATGATCTTTCAAATACAGAGAAGAAAGATCGGAAAAAAAAAAATTCGAATATTTTGGCACGTTTTCCACCCACAGTAACATTTCTTTGCTGGGCTACCGCTTCCAGGTTTGAAAATGGACTGTCCATCTTTTAGCCAGACTACGCGAATAAGGCGATATTGGTTGAAATTTAGGCTTAGCCATCCACACCAGCAATTAGAATTTCAAATATTTTTGATTGTTAGTATTAGAACGATTTCGTTTATTTGCGATCTGGAATTGCTACAAATTGATAAGGTAGTAATCCTTTTCGGTAGTAAAGAGATAAACGACCACAAATGTCTTAAAAGATTATACCTAGATATTAATGATTATCCATTGACAAAATACGATAGAAATATGCGACAATCTTTGATCAGTATTCTTGTGCATATTTCAAGCGATTTAATTTTACATCATTTCCACATTTCAAGTCACTTTTGACAGTCGGCGTATGCTTATCTGAGAATCTCTACTCTTTCATTAATGTTCCTGTACTAATCTTTAATTGGAAGATACTAGGCGTCTAACACGTGTCTTATCCATCCGCAGTAACCCAAAGACCATCATTAATGTGGCTATTTTCAATGATTATTTTGTTGGTGAGGTTTAAGTAATGATAGGGTCACTGCTTGACATTCCTTGTCAGCTAACAATCTTATTTCGCCAAATAGTAACTGTACAATCGCTCCTCCACAGTTCTTTGCTTTAATTTGCCCTTTAATACGATCAAAAGCCTGTACCACGTGGTGTTACGTCACCGATCAATGGCCGCCAAGTATTAAAGCAATAATAATTGAAGATTGGAGCAAGTCAAGTGAATACTAACTTTCCAATTTGAATTAATTGGCCTAATAGGTCGATTGCCCGATTAATTTCACTTATAAAGGGTTATTGATAAAAACGACTGGTTTCTGCACCTCGGGCGTCTTTTACTCTCACAGATTTATTTGAACACAAGAGACGTGAAGTTGAGCGTATGTTCTGTTCACACGATTCAAATACTATGATCAGAGCCCATTAAACACTCGTTAAAATCGGATTCAATTCTTACTCTAAACATGTTTATTTTTCATTGTCTTCAAAAAGTGCTTGAATCTTGTTTAAAGCGTGAATGAATCATAGAATTACTGGTTATATTGAAAGTTATTGGGTTGAAGAATTGATTATACAATATGAGTGGTATAAATCACACTTGTATATTTATTTTACCTATGTTAGTATTCCTGTAATCAGGTTAAAATAAATACCAACTTATAACTTAAGACTATTGATATTATAAAATTAGCAATTACAAAGTATTGCATAAACCTGTTTTGTTTCTTTTAAGCTTTTAGCTGTGTGATTATGTTCTGATGTGTGAATTTACACACATATAAAAGAGCATATTAAAGATCATTGTTAACCTGACACTAGTCAACCAGCAAAAAATACAGCATGGGTAATCTGGCCAAAGAAAATCGGAAATAGTGATATAAATTTTACTAATTATACGACCCGGTCAAGGAAGAATATCATGCATTTTCATATGAGGAGACGGAAATTGGTTCAAGCTAAAAGCATACTTACGAGTTGCATTTCAGGAAATGTTCCGAGAGAATTTTAGTGAGAAATTCACAATAATTAGAATATTCTCATGAGATAGTCAAATTATTCCCGTCGATTACAGGGGCTAAATCGTGTCGATTCCTTCTTAAGCCTATGTTTGAATTGTTATGATTTATAATATGAAGAAAGGTTGAATAGAAAGGGAGATCATTACGACATGCTAATGAGGAAAGGAAATTGACAAGGGTAATTATCAGATTAAATCCATACAATATGAAGAACCAAAGCAATAATCAGTGTAACCGTCAACTTCAAAGTTTCCAACAAACGGTCCGCCTTTTTCTCATTCTTTGACAAGTCATTATAAAACAAAGAGACCAAACAATTGCTTAGCATTTCTTCCATTATAGATGTCTTTAGACGAGCTTAAGCTATAAATTCCCAAGTGAGCATGACAACTGGTGCCTGTAAGGACTTGAGCGGCCCACAAAGCCAGAATAACCCGTGCTGCACCTGCTCAGTTCAGGGTCAGAGCGTGGATAGTGCCGTTAATAACAATGAGAAAGCTAATCTGCTATTAATTACGTATAATAAGGTAAATTCTTCAAACAATATTGCCAAACTGACTGCAATTAACAGAAGATCTGGGATTGAAAATGATTAGCCACTGTCACAAGAGGCGATGAAAGATGACAACTTTTCTAATTTGTTTGCTGGTCGTTATTGAGAATAATGCCTTTCTGAGGAATGATTATTGCCAAATAAAGACAGATTAGAAAACATTTAACACAAGGAATAAAAATGGAAGACAAATTTAATGAGAATTGAATAAATAATTTGTACAAAATAACTAGTTAATAAAAACGACAAATAATTTTTACATTTTTAATTTCTGTCGTAAGCTGCATAACCATACAATATACTTATCACATACATAGTTAATCAATAAAACTACACAAAATCCCGAAATGAATAGAGTTTTACTTCCTAATCTTCTGATCCTGATAAGGCTAATGAAAACGTGTAGTGTGTCATATGGGAAAAATTGCAAAAATATGGACATTAACCAAATCTTTTCCGATTTTCAATTATTGTCGAGGAATCCTCACCGTGCGAAGGCTCTGACACACGCATACAGCGCCCGTTAGAAATATTTTTCCTCTAATGCTTGAATTAAAGACATTTTGTTAAGATTTGTAAATTAAAAATGAATTTTGAAATATTTTATCTCAAATTTTATCTATAATTCTGTGTAAAGTCTTATCTATTTTCAAAGAGGAAATAATGAGAATTGCTGTGTAAAAACGTCTAATCGTTAAAATGTCTACAAGATCTTGTCAAATTGTCAACACAGAAATGAGCTGAAATAAGAATTGACTTGAGATGCACGATCTCAGACGGATGATTAATTTTTGACGAATTTTTATAAAAAATGCAGTTGGGCATGTTAGGCATAGTTACCATTGAGGTTGCCGTTACCTTTGCCAGGGCTATGTACCTGCACATAACAGCGTTATATTATTGATTTGAAATTTGAAGGGTAAGCATCAATTGAAAACAGGATGATTAGAGTTCGGAAACGCCGAGTGAGGTCTGAAAAACCCCAGTGGTCCTAAAAGATTGTGGCCTTGTAAATAAGGATGAAATGCTTGTCCATATAACATACTAGCTGAATAAGGTGATGGGAAGGGAAAAGGACCACTCGTTGACGATTCCAATCCAAGGGGAACTGTTGGGCTATTCACATCTAAACCAGGATTCTGTTTCTTCCACTTTGTTCTTCTGTTTTGAAACCAGATTTTTACTTGTGATTCCGTTAAACTTAACGATAGAGCTAAATTAAGTCTCTCACAAACTGACAAATATCGCGTTGTTTTGAACTTATTCTCTAACGCTACTAGTTGTTCGTAAGTAAAAGCTGTTCTGGCTCGACGAGATTTTCCAAATTTTCCTGAAGACGTTATTGAATGTGTATTTCCATTTTCGTCTTTTCCAGCGTCTATATCTTCAACACCATCATCACTATCTGATTCTTTTGCGTCATCTGTAATAAAAAGGGTTTTTTTAAATTGAATGTCTCAAATGACTGCACGTTAAAATGATTCTAATAAATAAAGATTGTCGATAATTCCACTTAAGTATTTCGTTTAAATTCATCAAAAATAATTTTACCTCTTAAGGAAATGGGCAATATTTTGTTGATGTTATGAGGAAAGTCAGTGCGCTCACAAAAAACTGTTCGAAAATGACAGTTCAATTAGACGATAATTATCAAATCGTCAAATTTCCTCCTATGTTTATATTAGGGATTGATAATGTTCAATTATAAGAAACGTGTATATGAAGGTAAGGAGGAACCATTTAATTTACTACTTGTTATTTCCATTTTCAACTTTACCAATATAGCGCCATAGTCCTAATTATTTCAGTTAAATATCACTGTACACATTATAATATCAAGTAAATAGCATTGTATAAAAACGTGGTGAAGAACAGCACTTGAAATACTGGTGATAAAATGAGTCATGGTAATCGAATCTTGCCAATTCTGACACATTGTCAATTGAAACGACTTAAGATAATATTGACAGCAAATTAAGTGAGGGACAATGGCATATGTTTTTTGAATTTAATTGGCTTTTTAAGTTTTTGTTGCTCATCGTTTCAACGTTATTTGAATAATGATACTTTTTCATATTGAGTTGCATTCTAAGATTGGGGAAGTCTAGGGTCGTAAGGTAGAGTATGTTTATGTAACATCAAATTTATGCTTATTCTATGTTAAATTTGACATATTTTTAATTTTCTTATTTGAGAACATACTTTTATTCTCATAAAAAGTTGAAGACATCGTTCAAATAGACATTCATAAACACATACTAAATACATAGGAAAACAAACTACACACTTAACTGAATCAACGGCTTTATGGAAGTCACACAATGCATTTAATTATGTACTTAAGCTATATTGATGAAATAGATGATAAAATTGGGATTCTTGAGTACTTATTAAATAAAAAAACTAATTCTCTTCATTACGCACCATTAGCTATTTATTGTGGTCCCTTTTAGTAGCTTATATTACCTTAAAATTATCGTAAATATTTTAAAGGCACTCTTCACTCATATAACTGCCAAAACCATTTCATATTATTTTGAATAATTAACCAATTTATTAGTTTCGTTATGCATTTCTTTCTTTATGTATGTTTTGTACAGATTATATAAGATGGTAATGATT